TAATTATTTTATAAAGACATTTAACAAACAAGTTAAAATATAAAATCCTATATGATTTAATTATATACATTTAATATATTTATTAATCAACAATAATCCAATTACTCAACATACACTAATAGACTTTATTAATGTAATTTTTAAAACTAATACAATTAATTATATAATAATTAAAGTTTAATTTTATAATTATTGTATATTATTTTTTCTAAATAACTAATTTATAGACTTAAATAACATAATAATTAAAATTAAATATTATTTTAAAACACTTATCAAATCATCATGACTGTGGTCGCAATAATTATCCCGTACATATTTTCTAGCAATTAAACCAATAATTAAAATTACAATTAAAAATACCACAATTTTATATAATTTAAAATATTTTTTGTATTCATTCTTGTTATTCATGGCTATATAAGACCTGGCTCTATTATTTGTGACTATTTGCACAGTTACTTATGTAATACAAATTACACTTTCAACTTTTAACATTTATAGATAATTAATGTTTATGGTAATAGGATGTGAAACGTTAGTCATTAGGTTAACAAATCAACAAGGTTAACAAGGTCATATATTTCACACGCCTGTTCAAATAATGAACTAATTATATTAAGAAATGTTTTCTATATTATGAATTGATTATACAGTATATGGTACTTCTAGACATGTAAAAACAATTTTACTAATACCTTGATATAATAACTGATTATTTATCGATAGTTTAGATCATTGCATTTATGAATGTATATTTTCTAGCAATTAAACCAATAATTAAAATTACAATTAAAAATACCACAATTTTATATAATTTAAAATATTTTTTGTATTCATTCTTGTTATTCATGGCTATATAAGACCTGGCTCTATTATTTGTCACTATTTGCACAGTTACTTATGTAATACAAATTACACTTTCAACTTTTAACATTTATAGATAATTCATGTTTATGGTAATAGGATGTGAAACGTTAGTCATTAGGTTAACAAATCAACAAGGTTAACAAGGTCATATATTTCACACGCCTGTTCAAATAATGAACTAATTATATTAAGAAATATTTTCTATATTATGAATTGATTATACAGTATATGCTACTTCTAGACATGTAAAAACAATTTTACTAATACCTTGATATAATAACTGATTATTTATCGATAGTTTAGATGATTGCATTTATTAATGTAATTCATTTAAATATAGCCACTAATATAAATAATGGCTCAAGTTAGAATTAAGACTAACAAACTGGTCCGTTTATGTGAATTAATAACTGTTCTTATAGGAATCATTATTGAGCCGGTTACTTTAAATACAGTTGTAGTTTAGTGAGGGAGGCATTCCCACTGTCCCCTGATTTTTAAATTAAATAGTTTGCTGGTTATAGTTGCAAAGATAATGCAGCTTTATGATTTTGTTACTTTTGCAACTAGTTCCTTGTTGCTATTTTAATTTTATTTTCTTCATGTATAATATTTGAGTTAAAATAATATTTTTAAAATACAATAAACAAAATAAGTTTATTAAACCGTATTTGTAATCATACAGTATATCATTGAAATCATTTCAAGGACAATTCTCTCATATTATGTCAACATTTTCACTATTATCCATAACATCCAATAAATGTTATAAACTATTGTTTTTAAGTTTTATAATTAAATATACTATTAAGTTCAAATTTAACTTCATTAAATTTTAACTGTTAAATTGTAAATATGCGCAGATATAAATTATTTAGTAATAAAATAAATATAATAATATTAACATTAATAGCCCATAAACACAGATTGAATACAATTTGAAAACCGGAATGTGTAATGTGTACGATTGTTTGCAATAGACCTTGGGTGATTATGTTGTCAGAGTGTGCTGAGGCTTTTTTTACATCATCGCTGCACTGGTAGTTAAAAACCAATCATAACCACTGGATTCCAGACTACTTATATAGATAATTAGAGTTTGTTTATGTTGAACACCAGGTTGAAACTTATTTATAATATTTTTAGCTCTCACTCAATAAAAGTGAATACAATCTCGTGTTTTGAAAACATATTAAATTCTGTATATAAAGGTATTCCTCACAACAGTTCAGTTCAATTCACTTTTGGATCTAAAAGTGTTTTGACAAACAGTTTTGAATGTTTTAATTTAAGTGTTCATTAAATATATTTTGCAACGAAAATGATTGATTTAAATTATAGCGTAGTGAGCTGGCTAATTACGGTTAGCATCGCTTTAATCACTGTGTATTTGGTGAGATTTTATTTGCGAGTACTTTCCCTACCAAAAGGTCCATTTCCGTTGCCAATACTTGGGAATGTCTTAAGTATATCATTTTTATAAATTATATTTATATATAAAAACAGTATTTATAAATCAAATATAATTTTACTAAATTATTACTATAAAAAAGTTTTCAGAGGGACAAAAGTCAATCAGTTCATAATAATCAATGAATTGCATAAAACCTATGGACCGGTATATACGCTATGGTTTGGGTCGTCACCTATGGTTATCATCGCTGACTATTATTTACTTAAAAAGGCATTCAATTCAAAGAATAATGAATTAATGGGTCGTCCGGTCACTGGTTTTAGTAAAATATTGCTTCAAAACGGGAAGAATGTGCTCTTCACAAGTCATGGACCCGTTTGGGCCAGTCTTAGACGGGTTGCCCACTCGGCGGTCAGGTATGCATGACATTTAAATTAGGTTTACTCGATGATTTTAATTACTATTATAATTTTACTACAATAAAAATTTTTTAACAAAACTAATGTTTATGTGGTTTTAAAAACTTAGAAAACTAGCCGTAAGTGAGAAGTTGTCTGATTTGGTGGACGATGTGGTCAATGAAACCGTTGAGACAATGATTAGTAATGAAGGCATCGGTAAACCATTTAATCCCAAGACCTATATCTATATGTCTGTCATAAACATAATCGCGTCGTCGGGTTTTGGCAAACGGTTTGTTTTATAAAAATATATAACATTTTAATAATAATAATAATTATTATTATAAAACAGATACTCTTTTGAAGACAAAGAACTCAAGTTTTATGAGGAAAGCTTTGAGTACTTCAGAGCCAACGCTAATAAATTAGCCCTAACTGACCGAGTTCCTATTCTCAAACCATTTTATGCCAATGTGGTCAACAAAACCATACAAACAATGAAAGGACTGACTACGAGTGCAAAACAGAAATATATGGATCGACTGAAAGTGCACTCTTCGGGAGAGATCCATGACTTCTGCGATGCGCTCATTGAAGCCAAAGAGGAGGCCATCGCTGACGAGAAAGAGAGCGCTTCCGCCTTAACTGATGTCAACCTTTCACTGGTTATTATGGATTTATTTTTAGGTTTGACTACTTTTTTAATAATAAATAAAATAAAGATTATAATTATAATGCATTCATTGATAGCCGGTGTCGACACAACACAGTATACGATGCGATGGATTATACTATTGATGGCAAACAATATGGAAATGCAGTTAAGAATGAGACACGAAATCAATGATATTATCGGCGATAAAGTGGCAGACAATCACCACAAGAATGACTGCCATTATGTCAATGCATTCATCGCTGAGACACTCAGATATAAAGGGGTCGCACCATTAGGTGTCCCACACGTAGCCCTCTGTGACATGCAATTAGGTATTCATTAAAATCATTAAAACCACAAACTAGGTCCTAAATTAACACTAAAATAATTTTTAATTTCAATGACACTTTAGATAATTACCACATCAAAGAGGACACATTTGTTTTTGGAAACCTATTGGCCATAACTCGTGACCCCAACCTATGGTCCAAACCGGATGTCTTCGACCCCAACAGGTTCTTAGATAAGGACAACAAATACATGTCAGCCCTCCCGGGGTTCACACCCTTTGGAATCGGACGGCGTATATGTTTGGGTGAAAAGCTGGCGCTCGCGGACCTCTTTTGGGAGCTCTACCATTCAATGGCCGGGCAGTCATAGTGCGGGCGTAACCAAAACCTGGCCAGTTGTCGTTGATTTTGCGGAACTTCTGGTCAATAGTATTGTCGAGTCGACCATTCTTTACAAATTTCGAGCGCATTCCCTCACAACCATTGGCCTACCGGTGCCAATGAATTGTTAGATGAGTTTACTTATGAAATATTTACGGATACCTCGTGAGTGACCATAGAATCAGTGAAGAACTTGAATCTTCCCCATTGAGACGATTCTGTTTGTGAGACAATCATTAATAAGTACTATAAACTGAATATAAGTTTTGTGAAGCACCCAATTTCATTTCACTAATCGGTGTAAATAATCTCTTATTAGTAAAATTGGTTTTTGAAAAATATTCATTCATTCAATCAAAAATGTGAGTAAATTATAAGTTATCAAGAGTATTTATGACTATACGATTTAAAATACTCATTTTATTGATAATATTTTTGATTGAAAAGATGAATATTTTTCAAATCAAAAGTTATCAAAATGAGACTAAATATCAAAATGAATATTATTACATGGGGGCATTCATATGGCTAAATTAAAATTTTTATTCAGTTTATAGTAATTACTCATAATT